GTTTGGATTTTCTTCCCATTCATGTGTGGGGTGTTAAAGTCCTCTACTATTATTGTATTACTGTCATTTAGTTCCTTTATGTTTGTCACTAATTGTTTTATGTGTGGATACTCCTATGTTGGGTACATAAATATTTACAATTGCTGTATATTCTTGTTGGATTGTCCCCTCGATGATTATTTAGTGTCCTTCTTTGTCTTTTGTTACTGTCTTTGTTTTAAAGTCTATTTTGTCAAATATATGTATTGCTACTCTGGGATTCTTTTGACATCCAATTGAATAATAAATGTTTCTCTATCCCTTCATTTTCAGTCTGCAAGTGTTTTTCGGTCTGAAATGAGTCTCTTGTAGGCAGCATATAAATGGGTCTTGTTTATCTACTCTTATCCTATGTATTTTGGTAGGAACATTTGGTCCATTTACATCCAAGGCAATTATTGATAAGTAAGTATTTATTGCCATTTTGTCACTTGTTTTGTGGTTGCTTTTGTAGCTTTTTCTGATCCTTTCTTGTCTTGCTCTCTTTCATGGTTTGTTACCTTTTTGTGTGATATATTTGTATTCCTTTCTCTTTATTCTTTGTGTATCTATTAATGGCTTTTACTTTGTGGTTACTGTTTAACATCTTCTCATATAGCAGTCTATATTAAGTTGGTAATCACTTACTTTGAACCCATTCTCTACTCTTCTCCCCACGTTTTAGACATATGGTTTCATATTTACATCCTTTTATTTTGTGAATCCCTTCACTGATTTTTTACAGGTATACTTATTTTTATAGCTTTTGTGCTTCAAACTTTTTATGCTCTCACATATGGTCTTTCCTTTCCACTCAAAGAAATGCCTTTAATATTTCTTGTGGGCCTGGTTTGGTGGTTATGAACTCCTTTAATTTTTGTTTATCTGAGAAACTCTTCATGATAGCCTTGCTGGGGAGGGTATTCCTGGCTACATATTTCAGCACTTTTAATATATCATGCCACTTTCTGCTGGTCTACAAAGTTTCTGCTAAAAAATTTGCTGACAGTCTTATGGGGTTTCCTTTGTATTTAATGGTCTTTTCTCTTGCTGCTATAACATTTTTTTTTATCACTACTTTTTGCTATTTTAATTTCTATGTATCTTGATGTGGACTTTCTTGGGTTAATTTTTGTGGTGGGGGGATCTCTGTGCCTCCTGGATCTGGATATTTTTCTTTCAACACATTCAGGAAGTTTTCAGCTTTTATTTCTTCAAATAAATTTTCTGCACTTGTATCTCTTGTCCAACTTCTGGGATACCTATAATTCAAAGGTTATTACTTTTGATGGAATGACTGAGTTCCCTAAGTCTATTTTCATCTTGCATGATTCTTTTTTCTTTCATTTGCTCAGATTGATTACTTTCCATTATTCTGTCTTCCGGTCATTAATTCATTCCTCTGCTTCCTTTAGCCTGGTATCCTTTAGCCTTTTTTATAAAGCTAGTTTACTGGTGATGAACTTCTTTAGCCTTTGTTTGGGAAACACTTTATCTCTCCTTCATGTCCCAATAATAACCTTGCCAGTATAGTATTCTTTGTTACAGGTTTTTCCCCCTCTGAGCTGATTTAATGTATTTGCCATATATCTGCAAAGATTCGTCTGAAATATCAGCTGATAGCCTTATGGAGTTTCCCTTATATGTAACTAGTTGCTTCTCTCTTGATACAATAAAATGTTCTCTTTATCTTAAACTTTGACAATTAGTGTATGTTGTATATATATGAACCTCCTTAGGTTCATCTTGTTTGGAAATTTTTGTGCTTACTGGACCTAGATGTTTGTTTCCTTCCCCAGGTTAGGTGTTTTCAGCAATTTTTTTCATATAAGTTTTCTGCCTTTTTCTCTGTCTCTCCTTAAGTGACCCCTATGATGTAAATGTTCACTTGGTATTATCTAAGAGATTCCTTAACTTATCCTCATTTTTTAAAAAATCTTTTCTTTTTACTATCAGTTTAAGTGCTTTCTAGTACCCTGTCTTCCAGATTGCTAGGTTCCTTGTGCATCTGCTAACCTATTGATTCCTTCTAGTGTATTTTTCATTTCATTTATTGTATTCTTCAACTCTGATTAGCTCTGTTTTATATTTTCTCTTTGTAAAGTTGTTTTTCTACCTAATGAGCATAATTATGATCATTAAACTCTTTATGAGGTGTATTGCTAATCTTTCATTTAGTTTTCTGAGCTTTTGCCTTACCCTTTTTGAGGAGAAGCATATACCTCTGTCCCTTTTGGTTGACTTTTTGTGTTTCTATGAATTAGTTAGAACAGCTACTTCTCCTAAACTTGAAGGAATGGTCTTATGTATGGTCATCCCATGTGTAGATTGTGTGTTTGGTGATATGGGCTGGCTGGTTGGAGCTGTGGCTGGCATGGGCTGGGAATCTGAGGCACTTTGTGTTGGGCTATCCTGGTGGGATGGCTGAAACTGAAGTGTCCTGAGCAGTTCTGGGCTCTCTGCTCATAGGGTACCCGGATATGACAGCTTGAAGCTGAAGTGGGTGTAAACCAGAGAGTGCTGGGCTGCTCTGTGCCAGGAGTGCTCTGGGAAGTGAAGTGGGTGTAAGCTGGCATGTTCTGGCTCTCAGCACAGGGGGTGCTCTGTCGGGGCAACTAAAGTGAAGACTGCTGTGCATTGGGGTATCCTTGGGGCACTTCACACAGTGGATGCCCTGGTGTGGAGGCTGGAGCTGAAGTAGGCTACTGACCAGAGTTTTCCAGAGTGCTTTAACAGGAGATGTTCTGGCTGGGTGGCTGGAGCTGAAGCACGTATCAGCCAGGAGGTCCCACAGTGTTCTGCTCTAGGGATGCTCCAGCAAGCTGCCTGGAGCTCAAGTGATTTGGACCTGCAGTCTTCTAGTGTTTTGCACCTGTGTCACCTTGCTGCAATGGCTGGGGCTTTAGTGAGCACCAACCAGGATTGTCCTGGTGTGCACCATGCTGGGGCCTCCTGGCTGGGATGGGTTGGGTTGGGTCGGTGTGGGCTAAAGGCCTGGGGCTCAATGAGGGAGTAGGCTGGCTAGGATGCCCAGGCCTGTTCCCATCTGCACTACCAAGATGGATGGGGCACATGAACTACGGTGCTCATCAGCCCTTCCATCCCAGAGTTCCAGCAGTTCCCTTGGTGCTTGGGAAGGTTCTGATGCTAGTCTCTTTACATTATAGTGCCTCTTTTAATTTGTGGTTTTTTTTCTTGTGCCCTAAAATGTTGAGAGCTGGTGTGCACTAGGAGCCTGGGGCTCACTGAAATGGCAGGCCAACTACAGTATCCAGAGGCTCTACTACCATCTTCACTATCAAAGAAGGGGAGCATGGGGATCCCTGGGTGGCGCAGCGGTTTGGCGCCTGCCTTTGGCCCAGGGCGCGATCCTGGAGACCCGGGATCGAGTCCCACATCGGGCTCCTGGTGCATGGAGCCTGCTTCTCCCTCTGCCTGTGTCTCTGCGCCTCTCTCTCTCTCTGTGACTATCATAAATAAATAAAAAAAATTAAAAAAAAAAAAAAACAAAGAAGGGGAGCATGAACCATGATGCTCAGCAGCCTGTCTGATTTAACAAGCATTCCAGCATTTCCCCCAGTTTGGCAGAGTTCTAGGGCTGGATCTTTTATATACTAGCTGCTCTTTTAAATTAGCTTCTTTCCTGTGCCCCAGGGCAGATGAATCTGCTCCTGGTCCTTCAGAACTATCGCTACCCACTATAGTTTGCATCAAGGATGGGGTTCCCTTGTTAGTGTGTCTGTCTCTCTTATTCTCTACATGATCTAACTTTTGTTCTACAGAAGCTATTAAGTCAGCCCTCAGTGCTTCAGGAGGAATTGGCTTTATACATAGAGATTTGGTGTGTCCATGGAGGAGATGATTTAAGGATCATACTATATCACTATCTTAGATCAGAACTAACTCTTACCAGGTAAAATGCTTATCTCCATTTAGTTCTTTTTCTGATTTTGTGTGTTTTTCTTTTTGGAGCATATTCCTCTGTCTCATTTTGTTTGGCTTTTTCCATTGCTATGAATTAGGTGAACTACCACCCATCTTGAGTCTTGAAGGAGTGGCCTTGTGTAGTGGCCATGTATAGACTACATGTTTATGGCTTTGGTTGGCTGGCTAGAGCTGGAGTGGTGCAGGCCTGGGGTCCTGAAGCACTTTGTGTCAGGGCTGCCCTGGCCCAGATAGCTGGAGGTGGAGTAAGTATAGCCAGGGAGTACTGGGGTGCTCTAGACTGGTGCCACCTTAGCAGGATGGCTAGACCTAGGGCAGGTGTGGGGTAGGGCTTTATCCATATTGGGGCTATCCTGGTGGGACGGGTGAAGCTGAAGCCAGCCCTGACTAGGGGTGACCTGGCATGCTTTGCACCTGGGCCACCTTGGCAAGTTAGTTGACATATAGTGGGCACAGCCCAGGGATGTCCTGATATATACCACACTGGGGCAGCTTTGGTGGGATGGCTGGAGCTGGGGTATGCTAGAGGCCCAAGGCTCACTGAGGCAACAGGTTGGCTGGAGTGCCAGGATGCTGCTGCTGTCTACACTATCAAGATAGAGGGGAATCAAACAATGCTGTTCACCAGCACCTCTGATTCTGGAGACAATTTCCAGCAGTTCCCATACTGCTTGGCAGATGCTCTAGGGCTAATGATGTATTGCCTTCACTTATAGTCTAAAGTCATTTTTTGTTGTTATTGTGCCCCAGGATGGGTGAACCTGCACCCCAGGTCTTCAGTGCTCTCCCTTCTTAGTGCAGTTTGTAGCACTGGGAGTGGAGTTCCCATCATTCCTGTGTCTTCAACTCTTCTACACTCCTCTGCGTGGCCCCTTTATACATTGTGCAGAAGCTATAATCAGCCTTCTGTTCTTCAGGAAGAACTTCTGTATGTGTAGGTGTAGACTGGGTGTGTCCTGGGTAAGAGGAGAATTCAGGGTCTTCCTATGCCACCATCTTGGACACCTCCTCTCAACATAGGACTCCTACAATTACAGACACACTAATACACATTTTATTTATTAACAAAAATGGTCCAAAAAAGGACTGGGCAAAAAATAGTGAAAAGGGTCAAAATAAATTGTTTTTAGTTCTATTGTCTCTAGGGGAGGGTAACCAGTCTAGAAAGCTGTTTTATCTCCAAAAACAAGTATTAGATTTCAAGAGAAATTTTCCTTTTCCCTTCTGTCAAAGCAAAATACAGTGTCGGTCTTTGTTTTTACCTATAAGCCTGCTTTTCAGCGGATGAATTGGGGAGGGGTAGAGGGAATAGACAGAGGTTAAAAAAGAAAGAGGCAAAATCTTGAAAGAAATGAAAGCTAGTGACAAAAAAGGTTCCTAGGGGCCCAAGAATCATTCACTGAAGTAATCCTCTAGTCCTTCCATATCCATTTCCAGAGAGGAATTTAGATAGGCCAGAGCAGATGATGCATCCTTGGTTTTCTGGACACTTGGTTTGGGTTGAGGAGTTTCTGGTTGGATGGATTCCTTCCTGATGTCTTTACTACCATTTAGAATCCGTTGGCTCTCAAAAAAGAATTGATTAGGATGGTTCAAAGAAAAGCCACAATCATCCACCTATGTAAGAAAGCAAATGTATTATCATATTAGTATATAGCAAAGGTATAAATAAAGGTGCTTCATAAACTATTCTAGACCTGGCTAAAAAACTATTTAGTGCCTGGAACATGGATCCAGGTAGTTCCCGGTCATAACTCTCAATCCACTACTTAGGATTTCCTTCAGAAAGTGCTTCACCTACTACCTAAACGTGAATGTCTCTTACATTTGTATTTCCAGCCTGAACCTCTGCACCAAGTTCCAATTCCCTATCCAGCTCTACTTCATCTCTACCTCTACTCAACATCTCAAAGGGCTAAGCATAATACCTGCCATATTGTCTGTCAATAAACACTTGTCAAAAAAAAAAAAAAAAAAGGAGGGTGTAATTCTTAAACATTCCAGAACCATAGGGAGTGGATATAAACAGATAATATTTTATTACTGGTCCCTGATACTTCTCCCTCTCCCTGGCACCCCCACTGCTTGTGCTCTGTCTCTGTCAAATAAATAAATAAAATATTTTGAAGAGTAAAGTGGTAAGGGTCATAGATAAAGGCTTATTAGCTCCACATGAGAGAGAAATTCTGGTTGGGTTGATCAAGGAAGGCTTTGTAAGGGAAGTGCTATATGAGTTGAATTTGGGAAGATAGAGGGAGTGCAAAGCTGGGATAATGAGGTCAAGGTTAATATAAGCAGCAGAACCACATGAGCAAAGAAGGAATTCTCCTGTAAAGCAAGTAGATCACATGGCCTAGTGGAAAAGGCATATAAAAGGGAATAACAGGAAATGAAGTTGGAAAGACAGGCTGGGACCAGACCTCAGAGAGCCTTGAAAACCAGAGTTAAGTAGTTTAGACCTAATTTTGTAGGCATCAGGGAGTCACTAAAAATCCTTAAGAGGGCAGGTGACGTGACTAAAGCAATGTATAATCTTATGGTAGATTAAAACGGGTTAGCAGGGGTTTAAAAGAATTGCTGTCATGGCTCAGAATTAACTCTCTTAACAAGGGAACCAATAAACAAACAAGGTGTTTTCTGGTAATACCTACCTGAATACTCTAGGATTCTGATTTTCTTTAGTCAATTGTTGATAATAACTTCAGTGTATAGCAGGTTGATAGCATACAGAGTAGTTCATTTTAAGAGTTATTACTCAGATCACTAAGAACACATTTTTATCTGCTACTTTGCTGCTTAATTTTAAAATGTTTCCTGAATGTTTTGTGATAAATCTATAATTTTTATTAACAATAGAGTCATTTGTGAACTTTATTATATTAGATTTTTCACCCAATTCATTAAAAAGTGGGAGATCCAATATAAAGTTTGCATTTTACAAAATGTTTCATGAAAAGTTTATTGTGTAACACATTTCAATCAGAAGGCTTTATGTTTTATAAATAAAGAACATTAGAGATTGGAAAGACCTTGAAGATCCTTTAAGTTGAACCTCCTACATGTACAAACTAGGAAAACAAAGCCTAAGGAGATTACATGGTTTATGCAAAATCATAGAACTAGTTACTGGTTTTGTCTGACTTAAAGGACATCTGACTAGGTCATTTATTTAGTTGCTCTGAAATCTGTTTTAGGAGGTTTTATGCAAAGTCAAATAAACTTACAGTCATATCATAATATTATTTCTAGAGTTAAACTTGGCTATAAAGATTATAAAAAACACAGTGGTATTATTTCATGTAAAAAGAATCTACCACTTTGTGGTATAATTATACATTGGGGATTTTCTACACCTTGTTTCAACTTGTCAAAATTCTCAGTACATCTACCATCACAGAAGAGGACTCTCTGGATTGAAATGAATTATTAGACTTCAACTTGGACAAAATGAAATATGATCATCTTTCTAAGCCTCAGTTTCTTGGTCAATGAAATGGAGGTAATAATAGTAATATCTGTTATGTCATAAGGCTGCCACGGGGAAAACCAAGGAAATAGGAGTGTAAAAAGAGAGTTGTTGGTTCTATGAACTCTGAAATAATTGCTTTGCAAAGACTCAAGAAAGGCAAGTCACTTTAAAAAAAAAAAAAAAAAAGGTGAATTCCCCAAAGGAAAGGGACAAAGAGTATATTGTTTTCTATGTGTCATTAGCTTCCTCTCCCACTTTAAAGAAGCCTGAACTGGAAATTGGTGATGGTGTATTGTCAGTAGAGTTTATTTAAAAAACAAGTTGAGAGACACTGGAGTGGTTCAGTGGTTACGCATCTGCTTTTTGCTCAGGGTGTGATCTGGGGGTCTCCGGCATCAAGTCCCCACATAGGGCTCCCTGCAGGCAGCCTGCTTCTTCCTCTGCCTCTCATGAATAAATAAACAAAATCTTAAATTAATTAATTAAAAAAAGGTTAAATTCTAATCCTGAGACTCTACTCAAATAAGAGACCTTGCCCTACATCAAAAGATGAATTAAAGACTTTTAAAATGTTTTACCTTATATTATATTGTTTAAAAAATGTACATATTTTTATTCCATTTTAATTAATGCTCTTATTAACCAAATAAAACAGTGACAGCAGCCTTGAAATCAGGGCATGTATCATGTTTTTATGTGATGTTTGGCTTTTCCAGCTGCTATCTTAGGTCTGCAATTATACTTTCTTAACTCATTTTGCTAATAAACTCATTTTACTGAACTTATGATCTAATTAAATTGCTTGGTAGCATGAAAATTAGGAAGAGTTTCCTTCTGTATACTGCATTGTATTTTCTTTTAAGAGAGGTTCTTTGTCTTTGGAATGTTTTCTTTCTCTTTTATTTCTGGCTGAAGGAAGCTGCCATTTAGTTATCTTTCATCTTGTTCAGAAAAATTAACTTTGGTTTAGGCTCCTCCCTGCACTGCCCCCCAAAACCCTAACAGAATGAAAACAGATTTTACTTCAAAATCAAATTAGAAGAAAGAATAGAGAATACAAGTTATCCCCATTGAAATCCCCTACTTTCACTAATTTCTGCTTAAAAGTCAGCAGCTATTTCCTTTACTCTTTATTTTTAAAAAAGATAGGAACCTGGGCAGCCCAGGTGGCTCAGCGGTTTAGTGCCGCCTTCAGCCCTGGGCCTGATCCTGGAGACCTGGGATTGAGTCCCACATTGGGCTCCCTGCATGGAGCCTGCTTCTCCCTCTGCCTGTGTCTCTCTGCCCCCCTCTCTCTCTCATGAATAAATAAATAAAATCTTTTTTTTTTTAAAGATAGGAACATTCTAGATATGGAAACACTGAGAATTTTTTGTTTCTTTCCTTGCTGTTTTTCTTAATTGGTTGGTATTGGTGATATTTTCCTTTGTGGTTGATGATTTTTTTTATTAGTTTTGTACACTGTTCACTATTGAGAGATGGAAATTCTGTGATGCATTTTCATGCTGCTGTATTAGCTTACAAGTCCCGAAGTACTATAAAGAAGATGAAATAAGACCAGTGTAGCTGGGAGTCCAGGAGAAGGAAATGAAGTGGAGAGGCCTTTATAAGGCTACATTGCAGATTTTGGATTTCAACTTTAGAGCAACTGGGAAACCCTTTAAATAAAGGTTTGTTTTTGTTGTCTTTCTTTAAAACACTTTGTTGAAGTAATCATATTCCTGTTTTAAAGATAATTCTAGCAGCTATGTGGAGAGGAAATAACTGGAATGGTACACATGTTGTAGACACTGGGAAATGAGTTAGGAAGCTACTGTAGTGATTCAAGTAAGACACAATCATGGTTTCTAGCCCAGCAGCCTAAGTGATACCCATAGTAATGACCCTGAGTATTATAAAAAAGCTGAATTGTATTTGGTATATCCTGTTCAAGATTGCAGGAAAATGTGATAGAATTTAGCAAGATCTCTGTAAAGATTTATATGGTAAGAAAAAAATTATGCTCAGCTATTTAGAAAATAAGTATCAAAAATGACCCAGTGCCTAAGGAGATGTATTTCTAAAGAAAGGATTTTCAATTAAAATTCAGAGATTAATCTACACAAGGCCTAGTTTCATTTACACAGGGAGTAAACCACAAGAAAAAAAATACACTACAATATAAAACATTGCTCCCTAAAAACACTGAAGAGAAGAAAACGGATTTCAAGCAGGCCAGATTTTGACATCTAACTAAATCTCAAACGTTTGCTTGGAATCAACATGTTTTGCACACAATGACCTTCACAGAAACATAGGTCCATATTTCTGCCACAGCAAAAGTAGATTTTGAAGGAATGGAAGCAATACTGTTTTACCTATGGGATGTTTGGGCTTTAATCAAGAGGTTTTGCAATGACAGCTTATAATGAGGCAGCTGGTATTACCAAAAAAGCCATATGGAACTATCATAGTGCTGCTGTAAATGGTATCAATTAACCAGTTCATTTTCAAAACTTTCATCAAAATGAGTTTGATCACAGAGTCCTCAGGAAAATAAACATAGCTTTAAAAAAATTATTAACAGGGGCAGGCAGGATGGAAGAAAACTGACAATAAAAATGGATCTTATTTTGAAATTAAATGAGAAATACTAATAGATGTTCACAACTAAAAATCTATAATGAGATATCTAGTGAATTCAAACAGCCTTTTTATTCCATTGATTTTTATGTGGCTTAAGTTATATGTGGGAGGATTTAGACAAATGTATTTTCAATATCTTCATTCATCTAAGATAAGTTTTAAAATTGGCCATAGTAGTAATACTCCTATAAGAATGAGATACTACAAAAGCGGATCTGAGAACTAAAAAAATTTTTCTTGCTTTTGGTGATTATGTCACAAACTCAATATTTATTTATTTATTTATTTATTTATTTATTTATTTATTTATTTAATAAAGGTTTTTTTTTCAAGATTTTATTTATTTATTCATGAGCAACACAGAGAGAGAGACAGAGAGAGAGGCAGAGACACAGACAGAGGGAGAAGCAGGCTCCACGCAGGGAGCCTGACGTGGGACTCAATCCCGGGTCTCCAGGATCACGCCCTGGGCTGCAGGCGGCACCAAACCACTGCGCTACTGGGGCTGCCCAAACTCAATATT